GGAAAACCCGTTACTTTTTCTGGTGATGCACCCTAATGTACATATGTAACTGAATCGCCCAATGCTTTGTCAAGCCGTACATAGATGTTTACACATCAAATTTCAGAAGTGTCTGGTACTAACGCCTTTTTTATTTTCTAAAACATCATTGAAGATTTTATACATCCTTGTGTACTTTTACCGATACCCTAACTATTTATTTAAGTAATTAAGAAAGCAAAAAGCATTTGTGTATCGTATTAGACATTTATTTAATATTGATTTTAAAATAAAGTATTTTGTATAAATAATATTATATTGTTTGTGCGAGAACAAAGTATTTTTTTTTTTAATTTTTACTCTTTTTTTAATCCATAGCTTACATATTCTTTTTGTTATCCAGATCATTTACATTTTTTCAGCCCTCCATGCCAAGCGCAAAATTTGGTTTATCCGCCGTTTTTACTGAATATATACCGCGGGCATTTTGCAACACTGGATCTCCCATTAAAATTCGTTGTCCAGTGCAATTCATAGCCTTAGCATCGACTACAGAATTGCAAGCGGTAGCTAGGAACCCCGTTTTGCTATTAATGGACTCGGCAAAGTATTCACACGAGCGACCATGACTGCAGCCAGCTGTGAAATGGTTAAAAGAAAAAAAAAATTAAGTGAAAACAAATTAGAAATCAACTATGGGTTAGGTTAGGTTAATCTGCNATTAACAAATTTATTCTTCACGGAAAAAATTTCAAAAATACATTCTTACATCATAGAAAAGTTTAAGCTTGAAAGGTCTGCATAAAATGGTTTAACAATTTTATCAACGGAATCAAAATAATGAGATTCTTGCGGCATTTTCAAATCTATCCAGTTCACTCACGTAAATCTTAATATTTTTTTGAAATATTTTAGAAGTCTTAAAATATAATTAGTCTTATAATTCCCATGGAAAACACTCGACGATTTCTATTTATTTATTTATTTTTTTTTTGGGAGAGTGATGCACCCTAATATATAACTATATGAAAAATAAAAGTGAGTGATGATTTTACGTTTTCTGAGTTTTGAACGAAATTATGCTAAATTTACTCACTAAATATTTGCGCAGGTTGATTACAGCCCGGCTGGAAAGCGCCTCCACCATTTGGATAGAAATCTACGACCCCAATCGGTTGCTTGTACCCCAAAATACCCGCACAGGTGTGTATGACATCAACAAATTCAGCATCGGTTACATCGAGATGATTCTCAGGACCAGTGCTGCCCTCAAAAGCTGGACGTGCGGGATCCAAACCTACATAAATACGCAAATGCATACATACAGGGGCGGGAATATAAATAGGGACGCGACATTTGACCAAGTTTTGGCTATTTTTCTTTTGTTTATTTAACGTTTATTTTTTTTGTTTGTTTTAGAATACAGCTCGTTGCCAAAAATCCAGTAAGTCTGAATTTCAACAAACTGTGTACAAAAATTTCGAAATTTCGGAAAAATTTTAAATTTTTTAATCAGAATTTTTAGTAAAATTATAAGTATGCATTAATTTTAATTCAATAAATTGCAAGTTCCAAGTTGCTCAAAAATTGCGCCGAGTTTTGATATTTTTTTTTTATGCTGTTACGCTTTATCTTCCATACAAAATATGGGCTACAAAAGTGCATTCCAAAATTTTTTCTAAAAATTAAATTTTCCTAATTTGTGTACACAGTTTAAAATCCGGACTCATATGGTTTTTGCTTGATAACAAGCTATACATTCATAAAAGAGTAATAAACATTAAAAAATAATAATAATAACAAGTAATTTTTAGCAAAAAAAAAACCGACTTCAACTCTCATATAAAAAAAAGATATATATATATCTCATGATCCGCTGATCGGATCTTAACCAGATTAGTATGGGACCACCTCTGAGACACTACCTTTCCGATGCAAAAAGGATTATCGAAATCGGTTGACGTGGTCCAAAGTTATGCGGTAACATACATAAANTGGAAGTCGGTTAATAAATAGCCAAAACTTGTTAAAATGTCGCGTCCCTATTTATTTTCCCGCCATTGTACATGTGCAATTGAAATCTACAGGCGTTTTTCGCGCAATCGATATGCTCCCCTACTCACCGGTAATACGTCCAACGCGATATTTCGTATACGAGCCAGCATAACCCATTATATGCGCCCCCAAACTGTGTCCTATCAAATGTATACTCTTCGGATCGGCATCTTTCTCTTCCACAAGCAAATCAATTAATTGCGCCACTGCTCTACCCACTTGTACTGTATAACGCG